GAACAGAAAGGACAAAACGATACGTACAAACAACAGAACAAATTGCACTAAGACTAATAACACGAATAAGACACCCCCAAAACCCACTGCACAACCAACTACTACCAACCAACTACTATACGAACGCACAAACATGACAAAAATTTCGGAAACACTAATACACTTGCAGACAAAATGGACAAACAACCCCCACAACTGGACCATACTGAATCCCCTTTGCCTCGCAAGACCGACAAAACACTCCCGTTTTCGTTCCCCAACAGATACTTTACTAGAACACCTACAAACGCAACTGAACTAAGGACTAAGATCTGTTTGTTTTGTAAGCCAAGAATTTTTATTTTTTATTTTTTTATAGCTGATTAATTTATACGAGTGTTAGGAATAGAAATTAATTTTAGAATAAGCTAGGCTACGACACATATGTACTAAACAAGGGCAGAAAGACCGAGAGAAAGTCAGTGATTTTTTGAATGAGACATTTTTTCGTCCAAGAAAAGTTTTAGTTCTCAACATAATCTCCTTTTTGCTCGATACAGTTAGTCCATCGTCTTTCCAATTTTTTAGCTTATTTAAAAAAAAAATTAAATCTCTTACCGCCCAGCCATTTCTTCAGGTGTAGAAACAGGAAATAGTCGCAGGGGGCTAAATCTGGAGAATATGCTGGGTGGGGAAGCAGTACGTAGCATTCATCGTTTTTTTGTCATGGCGACTACACACGTGTGCACTCGTACATTGTCATGATCAAACAGCACTTTTTTTCGCCAAATGTTGCCGTTCTAGCTTCAAGTCAACATCGAATCTGTCCAAAAGCTCTGAATAATATGTGCCAGTGATCGTTTTACCCTTTTCAATGTATTCGATGTGAATGACACCGCGTGCATCCTAAAAAACTGTGATCATCACCTTGTTGGCCGACAGACCCATTTTGGCTTTCTTTGGTGCACGTTCACCTTAGTAAACCCACTGTTTTGATTGTTCTTTGGTTTCTAGTGTGTTGTGATGGATTCACGTTTCGTCAACGGTTTGGAAACGTTTTTTTTTTGCAAAAAATCGTTCGGATTGCGACGGAACATCGCTAAACATTCATTTAAAATGGCTCCCGGCGCGCTTACGGTCGAGTGTCAGCAATCGCGGCACCCATCGTGCGGTTAGCTTTTTATATCCACGTAAAATGAGATGAGCACTCGAAATTCACTTTCTTCAATTTTCGTCGAAATTGACGAAGTCATCTCCTTTCAATGACTGTTACACGATGTAAATAACGTAGCGTGCTCAAAATTTCACAGCAGTCTAGGCCTGGGTAACACTGTGTTGAGGTGCGCTATTGAGTTGTTGGCGCTCCCTGAGTACCGAGTTATAACTCATCGGTTAATGAGTTATAATTCATTTATAAAAACTTTACGAGACCCGAGACTGGAATTTTCGCATCTAAAAAAAATGTCATCAGCATTTTTTCTGAGTAACGTTTTACTACTTTGTTTAAAAGAAAAAGGAACTTTGCTAAAACTGTAAAACTCTGAAATTTCAAGACATTTTAAAAATATTATTATTAAATGGCCTTTAAAATAAATCTAAAACAAGTAAAAAAAAACATCAACATTTTTCCAGCAACAGAACTGAGTCCTGCGCCGGTGCGTTGAGTTGGCACACCAAGCCATTTGCGCAGCTCCTAAAAATTCACTGAGTTACCCACGCCTACAGCAGTCTACTCAGAGACGACGACAGTTGATGGTAGTGTTGAATTTAAAGTTACTGAGCGGGAAAATGAAAGTCATCATACGTCAATATCAGACGACCTCGTAATTGGCATTATTTTAGACTAAAACTTCTTAAGTTTTCCACTCTTATTTCTGGTTCTGTCGACATTTTGATTCCAAGTTAGTCTCGTGCTCACTGGGCTCCCTAACCCCCAACCGATTAAACTAAATTAAACAGTGTAATTATGTATTTATTTACAAAAATGTATTTATACAAAAAAGTTTTTAGGATCTACTCACAATTTTTTCTCAATATTTAAGTGTTGTCTAAAGTATCGAAATAAGTCATTTAATTCGGTAGAATTACTTACTTACTTGATCCTTTGTTGCTGATGCATACTTTCACGCCTGGCACCCACTAGGCAATTTTTCGAAATAAAAACAAAACAATTACTTTGGTTGTTCGTTATATTTATGTAATATATACATAAAATAACACTAAAATTATTATTATTATACAGTTGATGACAATCATTTCCAATCATACTAAAACTATTTACCGAGATTTAATATATGTATATTCAACAACAATATTATCAGAATGATGTATATCCAAACACAAATACAATTAACAAGTAAAAATATAATACAGAGTATAAAATATTAAACAAATACTTTATCATTACCTGTATAGTATATACAGAAAACTTTATTACTATAATGACTGGTGCTTAGTGCTAGAAATAATTATTAAACGGAAACAACTGTCTCAGCGTATAGTTTTTGATACATACAGTTATGCAAGTCAAGAGGTGTGAAATTTTAGCTTGTAATATAGGTTGTTTGATAGGTACGTTAACGATGGCGCTTGAATAATAACGAGCTAGTTTTGAGCAAAACTACAAATGTTTGCGAAAAACTTAAAACCATGTGTGAAATTGAAGTGGTATTTTACAAGACTTTTGCAATTTTGTGCAAGTAAGAACTAATCAATTATTTTCAGGTGCCATCATTAAATTAACCGTCATTGGAAGCTTATAATATACTGGTATTTGTACTAGCTATTTACGGCATAATGATACAAAGTACTTTGGGAAAACTTATCAAATTTACAAGCTAATGGACGTACAGTCGCCAATTCTGTACTTATTAAATCATATCCATGTGTATGTAAATATGCACAAGTTGTGATGTTGTTCTGACAATATATACTGTACGAAACAGGGTAACATATCTTTAATTGGCGATTGTGTCGAGTATATTTTGTATATAAATTAATGCGTAATTAATATTGTTTAAGCACAAATTAAACTTTCACTCTTAACAGTAAATGGCACACCATTCTAGTAATTTAACAATAAATGAGTAAATAAAATAAAATTTAATACTTTTATTTATTATCTTAATCTACAAATATTGTTTGTAGAAATATGTATGTTAAGAAAACAATCAACTTAAGGCTCCATTTTACTTTGTGGTACGTATCAACCATTTTTAATCCAAAATAATCCATTCGATGATTCTCAACAGTTTCAACCATTTTTTAAACAAAACATTTACTCCTCAGAACCCTTTACGAAAACAAGTTTTTTTTAATTCCAAATGTATTACGATAATCATGCTATGAAGCCTTTCCTGGCCGGTGAAAATATCGGCTCAAAGATTTCCAGGGCTTATAAGTCGTCGACAAGTGAAACTGTTCCTAACGTTTCGTTCACATCTGCCGTGAGAATTATCGAAGGCGATGAGATGACGGTCAAAATTATGTTCCGTGAAATGATAGAAAACAATTCCAATGGTTGACGGCTTATAAGTTTGGAAAACTTTCACCGATAAACTACCGTACTTAGTTTGGCGACTTATAGTTAAAAGACCTGGCGGTAAATGAGATGATAAATACCATCGTTCTATATAAAGCCCTATTGTCAATTTATCAAACCATTTACGTCCAATCGCTCTCTTAATTGTTTTAAGTTATTATAAAACATTATAGTTGATCAGTCAAAAATTAAAAGATTTTACTTTCACTGGGAAATATCACCATATTTTCATGAACACATTAATAGAAATACATATAAATTGATGGACGGTTTAAGCTCGAAAATGTCAAAACTTTGTACACTATTTGCGGTTACATGATTATAATTGTTTTATCATCTTAGGTACCAATCCAGTTATCTCAATTATGCGTCGGTAAACCAAAGAACTTACATATTTATGTATAAAAATTAGTGTCTTTGTCATCACTGGACGCTAAAAATGGTCAAATATTTGTATCCTCGTATGTACCAGTCCAGTAATTTGAACTATGCGTCGGTAAAATTAGTAGTTTTGCCTTAAGTTGAAGGAAGAAATGGTCAAATGCTAACTTTAAATTTAATAAACAATATTCTAAAATATATTCTATACTCTTAAAGATAAGGGTTTGTTATACTATATATCAGTCTTCTAACAACTAGAGTGACAGTGACATAATTTTCCCAAATTACCAACTTAAAAGACGACAGCACCAATACATTAAGTTTAGACATAAATAAAATAAAAACACCAATATAGGGGTTCGAAAACTTCTATTATTCATTAGTAAATAATTGTATTCAACTTTCTCTGCAAATCAGAGCAAATGGGATTTTAAATTTGATATGATGTATTTTATTTATGTCGAAAATTAATATACAAGAATATTGCAGGCACGCATGGGTTAATACTGACTTTGCTGCCATACTCAATTATGTACAATTGAAACCTAATGAATATCACACTCCTAAAACTGAACACACTGTAATGATTTGACAGAGTTTCGAATTGAAAATTTCAACCATCGAAAATATTTCTCTGATTTTAATAAATCAGAAGCAAAAGTTGCTTTTAAAGTTTCTTTCAATAGATATGTTCGTTCTTATCACTTCCTTAATCCCTTCGAAACAGCCATATCAGTTTTCAAATATTAATGTTAACTAATTTTGATTACCCAAACTTAAGTGTCAAGCTGTTTGCAGTATTCTGAAAAAATATTGGTGAAGTCACATTTCAAAACAAACACCAGATATTTTCCAATTAAACAACAATTTAACAATATATGTTAACATTTATAGACCTTTGAAGTCTCTTTCTTAGGAAATTATACTTGATTCAACCTACAGTACAAGAGGGAAAACTCTGCCAAATCGAAAAAAGATATAATTAGATCTTTATGAAACCATAACACATCTTTATGAAAGTCAATTAAAACTAAAAGTTATCCAATTAGTAGTGATCGATTTTCAAAAATGTTACTCTTTTTAATAATAACAACAATAATAATAAAGCATGTAGTTTATGTAATGCAAGCGTAATGATTACGACTATCCAGGGTATAAGTGGGTCCTGATACCCAAATCAATACACATAATTCACTATTATTGAAAAATTGTGCTAAGTATTTCAAATAATTTAATAAAACCATCTCATATTTTTAATTTTGTTACACTGCTCTATATAATAATCGAAATGTTTCAATGGTAACAACCAAGAAACATAGGGCAGAAGTCTACATTTTCCCAAAATTCGTTAAATAAATTAATAAAGAATATTTTATACAGTTTATTCTTAGTTTAGTCTCGTTTAATACCATAACTAATTTTGGTTTAGGATAGCAAAGTTAAATATCCAAGGAGGTGCTCGGTGGTCGTCAAATTGGTAAATGCCAACACCTACGAGCAACAATTAAATGCATGATTCAACAAAAATAATACTATAACAATTTATGTTACACGCTAATAATGGAAAAACATGATTCTAACCCGTTGGGCAATACCATACTGGTTGCTGAGAAGAAAGACATTTTAAGATTCCAATTACTTGTGACATATCTAGATATAGCTAGATGATAGAGCCATCAAAACAGTTGTTTAATTTAACACAAATTTTTAAAATATGAATTAATAATAAAAACATAATACGCGGAAATGTCAAAATTGGACATAAAGTCGTTTTTTTTTTAAATTAAACAGCCTATAGGATTTTTTTTCCTGATTTCAAAACTATATATTCGGCCTATATTTGCATGAGCCGTTTTTTCTATACTACGTTTTAAAAATTATAAATAGCAACAAATCAAGTAGCCTTAAAATTGGACAAGGCGCTTCCTCCACCCGTTGATATCTCGACTGGACGAGCGGGTCCTATCCAATGGCCGCCAAATAGCCCCGACCTAATGCCTCTTGATTTTTATCTCTGGGGCTATTTAAAGAATATTGTGTATACGACTCCGATTAGACGACTCAAAATAGTGGATGCAAGTAACGATATCAATATTAATCATAACCAATATATTGAAAACGGTATAGATTAAATTGAAGTAATAAACGGCTAACACAAATCTAGGCAATAATATTTTACCGACCCGTCTAAAAATATATAGGGTCTCAAATCAAAATCAACAAAATAATTTGTCTAGATATCCTTTTTCTCTTCTTAAGAATGATTTCTAAATAAAACAAAAGTGAAGCTTAATTATTACACATTTTCATCATATTTACTAAAAAAAATGACACAAGTACAAATACAATTTTATAGTTCACTTGTTGCAACTGTACAGTCTTAAAATGGCTTTCTTTATTTCAATATACCTAACCTTTTTAATATACAATTAGATACATAATACTATACGTACTTACGTCACAAGTATTTGTTCTCGGGTTAAAGCTCATAGTCATACAATATCCTAAACTATTAGATATTATAAGCATACGTTCGCATATAGAAAACCCGTAAAGAACAGTGTTTTAACGTGTTCAAATTAAAAAGTATAGGCTGATATACATGTATAAACAAATGAATGTGCTATGCAGCAATATTACTCAGTTGAGTAATATAACTAGGGCAAATAACTAGTTAGTTATTTGCCCTGACTGTGTGCAACTACACTACCGTGCTTCAGTGAAAGATGCACAACATTATCAGGATACGAGTATTCAGGAAGGTTCACACTTATTCACAAAGTGGATACATTTACAGGAGATACTTAAGGAAAACAATGAACCAATCCTTATAAAAGGACATTATTTTTATGAACAGGAATTTGTTCCTGCCGTAGAAGGGAGGAAGATAAGGTGGTGTGTCGCTGATGGATTGGAATATAATTAAAACGAAAACCGGAAAAGTGGTCAGCTAAACTAATTTTACATTCATGTATTTTGTAGCATATCCAAACAAGTTGAAATGTTGTTGCTTATGTCCTACTTCATTGGTTTGTTTGATACAAAAAATTATTTGATGTAATATTCAAAATATTCTGCACTTGTAAAAACGAAATATTTTGTGTCCATACCGAAACTCCGATAATGGGCACAGTGTTTCGGGGCAATTTATGTCGTATACATCAATAAGCTTTTATTCCCCCATAATATTGGTTCAGCCTTTTGGTAGGTTTGAATCTACAAATGTATGCCTATAACAATCTAATTCGAGCGGGTACTTATACGATAAACAGTCGCAAACATGTTAGAGTACCGACGACGTGCTCATATTACGTTTTCGACCTCTAACAAATAGACGAGCTTGCGATATTATTATCAACATTTAGGGAGGTAGCACACAGGCTGCTTAGCACGTTCTGAGCAGCAGCAGCGGAACACTACATGGTCGAGAGATGTCTTTTCAACTCTTCTTTAAACTTGTCTGCCTAATTGGGAAAGCCTACTGCCCATCCATATCAAGACCGCATGTCTTCAGGCCTCCGGTCAGTGGCCGTTCTTAATAAATTATTATATTCTACTTCTAAAGTTTGCCTAGCCTAAAAAGAATAAAACAGATGTGTTATGTTATGAATGCATTTTGAAATAACGAATGTTGCAAGTAATCAATGCTGCGTGTGGTTTTAAAAAGTTCTTATTAGAAAAGTTAACAAGAAAAATTGCTGCTGATGTTCATCTATTTAATAATAAACATTCGTTATAAAGTGTTGGCAAAAAATAGTAAATAAACAACGTTTCGTTAGCGTCATATAATGGACCAATTGTAGTGGCTCTATTGTAGTTAATTACTTACTTGGGTATTCTGTGTTGGGATTTGTAGAGCAAGAGCCATACTATTCGCATCGAAACTCTCATCCAACGCTACTAAAGCACCATGAACACCCGATTCTAATAAGTTATTTCCGTATTCCTGAAAAAAAAACGGTTTAGTTAATAATTTCACTAGTGTTGATTTGATATTATTATTTTCCGAACATTTAGATTAATATAAGTATTGCACAATTTGGATCATTATGTACTAATACATAATACAATGTTCATTGGCAAGAATAAACCTTCAAATGAACTTTGCCCATTAAAAAGGCTTTAAAGTGGTTTAGGTTCGAGTTTAAAAACTACATCTTTTTGCAAAATAATGTTTAAATAAAACCCTTTGCTAAGTCTTTGCAGGTCTCAATCAAACTCATGAAATTATGTATTAAATTCTTAATAAGCAGTTATTTTGCATTTTAAAAAAAAGTGAGTTTGCGTAATAATCACTCTGCATTTGAACGTTTTTATGAAAAAAAAAACAATTTTAATGAAAAAGGCAAACTCAGGACATAAAATTCCAAAAATTCAATAAATTGATGCTATTATTGGTATTTGTGCACATTGTTCAATGCTAATTTGTTTATTACGCCTAAGAACTGAATTTTGTGTATCTTAAAGTGTTAGCTTGGTATATATGGAAAGATTACTGCAACACGAAATTATGTGAAATACGCACTTTATACATTTAAAATTATTTAACATTTTTTCAAAACTATTTATTATTAATGTTATTTAACCTGCTTAAATTGCAAAATGGATATTACTTATTTCGCTGAATATCGAACTTTACTACTGTGGATTAATGCTCTAATAATTTAAGATATTAACTACAACAAACATATTTTTGACTTACCTTTAGTCCTATAATCGCTACCCATCTAATTAAGCGATCATTACTCCATACTAATACGTCTGAATTAGTATTTTCACTGTTTTTCCTTCTATCTTCTAATAAATTACGGTCATAATTTAACCTCTTTAAACATGATATGCCAAATTGAAGACTAGTCCTAAAAAGAAAAACGTCTAATTTGCAATATACAGCAAATATGGTTGGAAATTCCCGGGTTTTTAGCGAATTAAAAATTCAGTCTATTGCTTTTTGTTTTATTTTTTTGCTTTATAAGTACTTTTTGGTTTATCTATAAATCATAATCACATTTTCTTGAATTTGTACCAGCTTGCCACTATTATCACACGACTAACTTTCCGCTAAACTCTTCTAATCTTAAACCTGTTGATTTTTTTTGACTTCTAAACCGTCTATTGCATATGGTGTAGGTATATTTGCTCATAAAAGAAATAATAACATGCTTTCGGTTTGAATAAATTGTCATACATTTCTGAATATCGCGTTTTAACCAATTGAAAGTCCAGAAATTTTCAACAATTTTACACCGCAAAACACTGGTAAGAAAACCATATCTTGCAGCAGCTGTTGCGGAACATTTTTCTACATACCTATGAAAACTGTCAACCATTTTCAGTTGACCGCGCAAGTCTTTCTTCGTCAAATGATCCAGCATCCTGGCATCTACTAAACATTCCATAAAGGTGGTTCTATATTGGGGAAGTCCCAACGATGGCAACCAAGCATTACCAACCCACTCGTGATTCATGTCGCCGAATGCAAGTGTGGTACGAGAGGTTTTCGGTGCGCTAGGAGAAGTTAGCGATACCATCTCTTGAATGGCTAATCGTAGCTTAAGTCTATGAAGCGGATTACTTATACCTGAAAAAAATAAAGCGACAATAATGAATGAGAAATGTTAGGAGTCAGTGATGCTGACCTATTTCTCTTTGGATTTCCGTATCACTAAGTGCGCTCATTATAGCGCCCGATTTAACGTTGGCTCTACAAGCTGCAACATACCAGGCGGGCATGCCCACCCACAATTCCAACCAAGCGACGATGGTTGGACCGTTCCATAGGGCAAATGGTGTTCCTGCTTTCATCGCTTCTGCTAACAGTTCATGACGATAATCCCGTTCCCTAAACACGTAAGTATTAATAGATATTTTCGTAATTTTGAGTCAGATTTGCTTGAGTAGGTTTTTATTTTCATTTTTTATCAACAGTTTTATGAATGAATTAATAAGCGACAGGATTAGCTGGAAGCATTTAGGATGTCTATAAAAATAGTAACGGAGTAATTGCCACAAAAACCAGATATTCGCAAAAAAACTAATTTTTAAATTTGGCAACGATGAACCTGACGGAACTGGAAAATTAAATCCTTGTTTCCTTATGCGTAAATCAACAAAAGTAACAGGTGAACCTGACATAAAAACCTGCTTGCAATAAATATACGACCCACTATGGACTCAGCTCGTTTCTCATATAGAAGAATAAACCTAGTGAGTCTCCACAAGAGCAATTGAAAACTAACCACAAAGATGCTGTGAGTTTAACATTTTTGTTAACAAATATTTACATCCATTTTAAATCAGTTTGTGGGCAACTTTTGTAAAAATTTAAAACATTGGTACTCGTAAAAAACATGTTATAATCAGAAGAATTCGAAACACGCATAATTGTGACAAGACAGGAACTTTCAAGTGAGTTTAATTCAGCCAGTAAAAAATAAATCAAAATTTTAAAGTGTCAAATTTAAGATACGTTTTGTCGAATAATTGATCGCAAAGCGTATAAAATTAATTACTCAGAGAGAGTATGACAAGAAAAACTCCTTTATTTGGGTATCTTCCCTTAGAAGTTACTGTTGCTGGAAAGAGAGAATGCCCGTATATCCGTTATTAGCAAATGATAAAAACGCAACTTCGAATATTTAATCTACTGATAGAGATTATGCCCCACACTTACGCTCACGCTGCATGAAAAACTAGTAATTAGTAAATGAAGCCCGGCTCCATCAAGGTTTTTTCGACTGTTGGCTTGGAAGTATTGAAACCCTCATTTATTTTCACGTTTCGATTTCTTTCATTTCAAAATTAAAATAAGTCTTCTTAGTAAAGCTTTTCAGCATGTCACTTACTTTTTCTTTTGACGCCGGTCAAAATCTACAGACTTCTGGCCCAACTTTCCAGACCCACTCATCGAATCGTTAAGCTCCCCATCAGGAAGGGCGATGCTGCTTTGACTGAGACTTAAATTGCTATCGGTTGATGATCCATCTTTTCCTTTCGCCTTAACACATAAACGTAATTAATGTTAACAACGGTAGCAGTGTTTACAAGAATCAATAATATAAAGCAATTATACCATTAAAAAACGCATCGCTTCATTCCGTTTAATTAAAATGTTTCGTTTAAATCTGGCAAACAAATGTTACAATATTGCGACGTCTTACCTTCTCTTTTTTGCTGAAGAACCGTCCCAGACTGCTTTTAATGCCTTTTTTCTTTTGCGCTGCTGCTGCCGCCGCTGCCACAGCTGCCGCATCTCGGTTGACAAACCCGCTAGCAATTCCATACGCATTTTTATGCAGACTCTCCTGGCTGCTGTGACGAGAGGATAGAGGTGATGGTGGCGTGTGAGTATTCTGCCCTGGCCTAAACACATATTCTCTACGCTACTCTAATCGGCTCTAAATCTATAGGACATGCGTGACATAGCACGATAAATATATCGCCATTAGTGAAATATATAATGATTTTGGAATTTGTTAGTTTTTCGATTCTTATGAGGAGAAAACGAAATTGATTTGTTATAGGAAGTGACGCTCTTGTGCAGTGCGACAATGAAATTAACCTAGTTATTCAGCACTTTACAGTTTTGATTCAAAACAACATTAAAATTATTTGTTTCTGGCGACAAAAAAGTCAATCTATTGTGCAGGTCAGAATGAAAAATTTAGCCCATCGAAAATATGAGTATCTTTTAAATGTCGTGTTATCAGCTATGTTTTATCGGTATCTCCGTCAAAAACATCTTATATATGCATAGGTGAAAGGGTAAGCGGACACACAAGCAAGCAAACAGTGATATTTTCAGATTTACAGTATCATATCGATTTATTATGTCTCTTATTCGGTAAAAATAGCTTTTTAAAATATCCAAAATAAATTATTGTTAAAACCACAGAAAAATTCAGTACTAATTTTTGAAAATTTAATGCCTTATCGCAAAAATTGATGACAATATCAAAGAAGAAACCCCACATTAAAAGCTACATTTGTCATTTTCAAAGTATTTCCAATTATATTCTATGTGATTTTACTTCAATAACGATGGACATGCAATCTTCATATAATCCGTGAAAAGTGTTTTGGAAAAAATAAAATTAGTTTTATTTTTGGCATATTCAAATCAATAATTTTAGACTATTGGTCACTTTCAATTCACATTCAATTCGGCTGGGAAAGATTTAGAGCAATTTGCGGTACTGCTGAACGCCTGCTAGCAAAGGTTCTTCCTGATCGAAAAAAGTTCAACATTTTTGCTTAAAATCTCAGAGATACCAAATGTTTCTAAATCAAACAAAATTCTGTTTTAAGACACATACATTGACACACAAAATTGTGAGCGAAAGGAAATACGTATTTCTTACGATAACACAATCAGAATATTGCTCGTGAGATTGATTTCCAAAATGTAAAAAAACTGAGTTGGCTCAATAGCGAATTTGATCTTTGATTGAAGATGTGAACACTAACACTGGGCACACAAATCTAGCTATTCCTATATGTAGTAATAAAAAGTGAGTTATTGACCTGTAATTGATTCCCGGAGACAGAGCCCGGCCATGTCTTAGCATTGAAGAAAAAAATGTTCTGTTACACGAAAAATTATGAAAATAATAACTGAGGTGTACCTTCGAAGTTCCTCCTGACTGTGAGCAATAGTTTGAGCCATTCGTTCTAATCGTAGCGATCTAGCTGTTAATGGAGATGCGCCTCCCCCACTATTGTTGTCACCCATATGCATTTCATCCCTGGACATTTCAGAAGAAAGCGGGGCAAGTTGGAGCTAAAACAGCACATTAACGTGTAAACTTAACTTGAGGATGGGCACTTAATGTGGAATTGGTACATAAACCCATCTTGTGTTTAGAACCAACCAAATCAGATTAGTAATATGTTGATATTTTTTTACAGCACGAACACTTAGAAATTACGCTGTGAAAGGTTTATTAAATATCAGAAGGACAATCATTTTTTTTCTATTTGATATAGTGATAGTAAGAATGGAAAATTGTTCCCATATATGCTTTTAGAGAAAATACGTTTTGCCTATAGAAACTATTGCTGATCTGATTTAAATCCATATCTTAGATAATTTAGCGAAAATTAATTCAGTTACGGAGCGTCTGAAATGAGCGTGAATTCGGTTAGGAAATTAAAAAAAATGCATTGTACTGCAATGTATTTAATTTTGAAAATGCTTTTTTCAGTCTAATTAAAGTCCGAACACTAGCGCTCACTTCGGAATGCTTCAAATATCTGAATAGTGTACTTTCGACTGTTAAAGCAATTAAAAGCGAGTGGGGTGCCTCCAACCTTTATACCGTAATGGTTCACTTTACAATCACCATTTGATTGTGAAACGATGTCGTTTATTGTGTTTGAATAACATGCAAACGAAATGCGATACTTAAAGGAAAATAAAAGTAAATAATTATACAGCCAAATATGGTGGTCAAGTGTGTGTCTCGATGCAATTGAGGTGTTGGTGTAAGTCAGTGAAAGCCAACAGAAGAGTTTACAAAAGTAATGGTTTCGTGCTAATTTACTCCGATGGTACTGGATTGCTTTCAGATGGTTTCTGATCAAAATTATTCGATTTATTTGTCCTTTTGTTTAAAACTATTTTGCCGCACACGGGTTTTCTTGATTTAACTAGCTAGGTAAACTGTTTGTAAAAATTGGCATCATTTACATTTTCTACTTCATTTTGACCAAGCTGTACTACAGATCACCGAGGCAAAACGAATTGATACGATTTTTTTACAAACGGTGTGCTTGTAGCAGATTGTTAAATTATAATTTGTTAAAATGACCGATACCTCTATTAAGCTAATTTTGTTGAATAAAAATGAAAAGTTACCTACTTATTTAAAAAGAAACCAACTAAAACGAGTAAATTTTGGGACAAATCGATAAGCATTTGTTTAAGAAAAAAAAAATTGTTGTCAGCCATGATAATCGCAATAGGTCGATACTGGCACAAACCTGACTGGATGGCAAAGATTCGGACAAAGTGCCTGGGCTCAAAGTCGAGTGATATTGTTGCAAATGGGCTGGAGACATACTTGCCGGGGCCTACAACATCACATCGATAATAATGACAATACAAAACATGTACAGTTGGCATAAGAACATTTCTCAAATTATTTTAATCAAAAAAATACCATAAACCGAGAAATTATGCTGCAATATTACTGTCATTCGTTTTATCCGGATGGAGTTTAAAGCATCGCAAAAAATTATTTTGGAGTTAATAATTCTCAAATTCTCAATTCTCAAAAATGTTTTGTATTGTCCTTAAATTCTTTTCATACTCCCTCGGTTTTTTTGTTAAAATATTCATTGCCATTTTGCAATTGGTTATATTTACATCGAATGGCATGAAGTGCTGATACTAAATGAAAGAGAAGGAAATGTAACAAAATCTCATGCCGGTTGTAAAATAAATAAACTCATTTATGAAAATTTAGCTTCACTCGATGATCGTACTTCATAAAATTATGGCAAATAGACATTCGCATAATGGAAAAAAACTAACTAAGCTGGATAAGTTATCCGCTATTCATAGTCGGGAGATTTCACAATAGTCTTGAAGGTTTAAAAGCGTTATGTTACAAAATTGGAAATGGGATTTTTCGCAATCAATCAAACCTTGTCAATTTCTCTCTACAGCATAGTAAATACAAGGGGTTAATCGATTAGCGAAAAAAATGGGTGTCCATTGATGTAATATGGATATTTAATGAATTTTGAAGACATTTACTGTTAATACGGTACCGAACTTCGCAAAGAAATATTTTGTTCCGATTTTGTAGTGGCGTATGTATTAAATGCAACCGGATATTTTTTAAGTACAAACCAACCCGCCACTGCTTTTCATACCGATAATGAAACTTTCCACTGACCGAAGCATGCTTGAGCATATAAAATCGCTTTTAATTCTGTGTGAAACGAATGTTTTGCATAGTTATAGACTTTTCAATAATAATTTTAACAAATGAGTTTATTTATGATCAATAACCATTCAAACAATACTCAAGGAGCAACGAGAAAAAATATAATGTTTAAAGAAAACGGAAGGAGTAGGAGAAACCCGGCTCACCGTGTGATACTTATGTAAGTAATCCCTCTGAGGGCTATGGTGCGACTTGGGCGTGGATCTACCGCTTACAGGGGGTGATTGCCTTTCCAGGCTTCTGCCGCGAGCCAAAAGATTCATGTGTTCCATGCTGCCCACTCGCGATTCAAGTTCTTCAGCTCGCGCCTCGGTGTTTTGCTTTTCTTCTTGAATCAACCGGATCTCGTTATTAATTGCGTCCAGTTGCTCTTGGAGCATCATAGCGAGAGTTTGAGCATCGGTGTGACCAGAAGGAGATAGAATATCTGCGGTGCTGTAACAAACAATAATACATTATCAAAAAATATATACTATATACTAATATACGCACGAAGTTGTGCAACTGAGTTAAGCAACGAACTCTATTTCGTTTATCAAGCGATAGATTGTATGTATAAAAATCATTTGAGTGATCCGTGAAGAACGCACAAGCGATTCTACTTAGGAAAGTTATTGTCTAAAAAATCTACACGCCAGGGCATAATGTTGAGTATGAGAAAATAATATCAGTTTTTCAATTAAAATGTTCCGATTACTTCGTTTCATCTAATGTTTGAATGGAGTCAGCTCTTGTGATCTGACTTCCATAATCACTCACAAGGCATGTTCAGTATAAAACCTGATGGTTTATTTCTTTCAATTACGATTCTATTTTTAAACTCAACATTAATTTACGAGTGGTTTGAGTTACCCAAATCAACAATGTACATAAAACGACTTACCTAAACAAACTATCATTATCATCGCCTTCAGCATCACTTGACACGTCGAAAGCCTGCTGAACATTGGCCAACACATGAGCCTGTTGCATCTTTTCCCATTCGTGTTCCGTCATCGACCGGGACCCAAAAGCCATCTTATTCGGGTCCTCTTCGATTGGGGTTCTGCTTTTATTGGGCCTTCGCGGCAAGGAATGCGTATCGAAACTGGAATGACTCGCGCTGCGAGAAAAGTTACTGGGGTCGACGGCACTCGGCGACAAGGACCTGATGGATAATACAGAGATCTATTATAAGAATTTAACTAAACGGGGAGGAAACTAACCTTGTTAGAGCGTCTGTTTGTTGAATATTGTACGAGATTTCCTGCTGCAGCATCTGGCGTTTAACATTATCGATCTCCAACCTCGATTTAGCCAGCTCTTTCATAATTTCACCTTTCTGTTGGTCCAGCTCTTCCATCATCTTTCTAGTCTTTTCAAGCTCTTGTGTCAAATTATTTTTCTCCTGTTTTTCAAAAAGAGATCGTATTAGCAACGTTGATTGAATATTTCAATGAGGTTTTACCTGGAGAGCGTGCATTCTTTCCTTCAGATGATCTTGTAATCTATCGTTAGATTCCGAAAGGAGTTTATCTACTGTAGCTGACAAGCGCGAGTTATGGTCTTCATTCATTTTCAGTCTTTGATTCAGTCTGACCAGCTCTGCGTTTTTCTCGTCCAAATTGGCCTCCAATCGTTGAATGCGATCTTCGGCTGATCCATGACGTTCTTGAGCCTGAAAATCAGGCCATTTTTCATACTAAAGTGTTTTTAGCTATGTAAACTCTTGCTAGCACTAACGGTTGTGTATACTAATCGCGTGATAATTTAATACACAAGCATAATTAATCGCAAAAAAATGTATGTGTAAAAGCATATTTTTAAAAAGGTTTTTATAAGCAAATACGGCATCAATAAGCAATGATGTGAACTAGGGTGGCTAGTGAAACTATTCTAGATCGAATCACCAAAAAAGCACAATTCAAACTGCTGACTTGCTTAAAAATAAGTAGTAGAATTTTTCCAAATTTTTAAATTTATTTTCATTAGTTCGTATAGTTAGAATAGCCTTAAATTGTTGCCAAAATATTTACCTCTATTCTATTTTGTTTTAATTCGAATTGCGTTTTCCAAGCATGAAAAAATCATAATAACATGAACGTTAATAGTACCAAAGTTTTAATTGGCACCAGTTCTGAGAGCTTCAAAATCTTGAAAGTTTACTCTGAGGGTTTAATTACTTATTTACGCTATAACAGTTTTAAGATATAACAATTCAATTGAAAACAGCTTAACCAGACTATATAGTCTTACTTAGAGCAACCAAGGACCAGATTCAAGAACTAAGTGTACACAGCAAATTAAAGGAATCATATTTTGCACAAGAATGGAGCCAATTTTTTGGTTGTTCCCCAGTGTACATCAATCCTAATCACACGATTAATTGCAATACTTTTAACAAAATTTTTCAATAATAATTTCGAATTAAAATAGTACATTTTTTTAATATGCTGTTTTGATAATAATCGACTTAATAAGTAAATTGCTAAAATATTAGTTTTCTATCGATTTTCCAAAAATGTAAACAAAGATAGTTATTATAAATAAAATTGTAAATTGAAAACTATAGTATAAAATCGAATTAATAGGTATATCACGAATTAGTATTTCGATGACGAGAATAAGCCTTTAGCAATAATATAATTTTCCGAATCATAAAACCCGGAAGCAGTTTGCGTCTAAAAACAATATTTTACCTATTTAAATTATTAAGTGCTCCCACGGCTTCATAGTGATAATTTCTTCCGTAATATTAATAAATAATTAAAAATTTTCAAATATATTCTACTCATATTTAATAACACTAAGCTTTTTCAAATTGACGCATCAATCATGCAACAAATTAACAAAAAACTGTACCTAACATCGAAGCAAATTAAATTGCAAAAGGTAGGGCATTCGAAGAAAACTTATTTTATAAAAACTAAAATCGCAAAGCATAAAACTGAGGAATGCATTTGCTCAAAACTGGTGAATTAATTAACTGCACAACTGATATACCTAGAATTTGCTCAATCTTTGCAAACATTTCAAAATATCAAGTTAAATACAAGATAGAGCGATAATATTATACAAAATAATGTCTAGCTCAAGGCTCACTTTCCAACTAATTATATATAAAATCTATACATCAAAAGCTGGTAGGATTATGTGATATATGATATTATAGGCCTATGTATTGGCTAAGATACCTAGCCAATACATCGATTATTGTCTACATCCGTGGAAAATTAATTTTTGTGGTCATAACAAAAAAAGACTAAACACTCTTCGGTAAACAAATCAACGACTGAATGCGAGACTGGTCAAAATACGATAGCGTCTACTAGATTTTTATTCTACTAGTTTTGTGTTAATAGGTATGCTTTTTGTTGTATCTAAAATTATAATTATTGTGGCAGACGAGTACCAATTAAGAATTTCTTGCCTCGGTGAAAATGAATTTTTCCAAAAAAATCTAACTTGAATATTCTAACACTAGCAATCGAAGCAACTACTCAAGAAACAACTGCTTCTATTTCAGTTTATTCAATTTTACTGCTAATTTTTTCAACGCAACGTTGATTTATTTAAATATACGTTTCTTCCATTTCTGTGCATAAGACCCTACATTGCAATTTCGTATATTCCCCGACCGCAAAAATAATTTTCCACACCTGAATATTCGCTATTATGAATTTAGTGCTTCTCCGGAATAGCTACAGATCCTAAACTAATATGCACCAGAACTAATTTCATTATCTAGGAACACACTATTTTAGTTGTTGCTAATTTTCCCCACATATAATAGATTTAATTTCTAACATCTATGAGAAACTATACACACTAGCATGGACACTATTTATTATTTAGTTCAAGGTCTATGGCACTAATGGGTTTATAACAACAGATCCCATAGATATACTAGTTTAAAGTATGATGATTTTTTTATTTACAATTCTGCAATATAGAGATAATAGATACAATAATAGACATTCGTTAAGTAGTAAATTAAAGTAGAACCGTGGAAATAGCCCTACTCGATTTAGTTTTATGGAAACCTAGTCAAACGAACAAAATCATTCAATATTTGCGAATGCCATGTAATTGAAATATATGAAAGATCGGCTTTCAACAAAAAAAACATTTAAAAACCTTAATGCAGTTTTATAGAAAATATTGGAAATTTATTTTCGCATTTTCAGGTTAAATGTTTCAACTAATAAATAAAAGAAATACTTTTCCTTAATATAACTTTCGTAATTTATTTTGAAACAACCTGATATGTTTTAGATTAATAATTTAACAACTAGTCAAAAATTATTGACTGTTTTAAAACTAGAATTTCATATCAATTTTAATCTGGAAACTGTAGAAGAAAATTAGTGTTATATCACAGGTCAAGTTGTTAATTTAAAAACAGAGCTTGTACATGATGACTAAAAAATTTCAGGCAATTTTAGAGATATTAGTTCATTGGTTAGTTACAGCAGAAGTAATCTGTTGACAAGTTTTTCGTCTTTAGGACCTGTTATTAGAAAAGCATAAACCTTCAACCATTTAGCAGAAAAACAAATAGTGTTCTAAACTGACAAACAATTAAGAAGGACAGAGTAGGGATAAAATAAGTGAGCTGAGAGCCTCGTACCTGGGGTCTCACCTGCGTAAGCGCTTCCATCCGCTGTTTGAGCTGCTCTTCCATTTCGGGAAGTTTCGAGAACTGAGCTAATTTCTGTTCAGCAAGTTCCAGTTTTTCTTGAATAGCTGCAATTCTCTCCTCGTGCAACTGAAAATTGAACATCAGATCTGAGAGCAAGCCCCACTATATGTTGCATTTTGATGCGGATTACTAATTCGAACTGTATTGATTTCAGATATGTACGGTTACCTGATAACTATGAATTAATTGAACTTGATAGCAAAGGAATTCAAACAGGCACAGGCATATAAACTAATGTTTTGTATGGCAATGCAAATGATACCATTGTTTACCTTCATACATCTTTTGATAAATCGTGTGAAGAAATCCGAAGCGTTCATTCAACAGGATAATTATTAACGATTTTGTTTTGTGAACTACTTTATGGTGCAAGATTAACAATTAGTTCACCTTTATTTGTGCTTCTTTATGCTGCAACTCTTGTTCCAACTTCTCGTTCAGATCGTGCAAGGAGGTGCTTTCTCTTTGCGCATTCAAGTACCGTTTCTCTAAAGTGGCAATGCGCTCTTCCTGATCCTCTTTCTGCGCGACGTTTTCGCGAAGATCCCTCTGAAGTTTTGCGTTCATGTCTTGAGCTTTAAGCAATTCCTTCTGAGCTTTGGACAGGTTTTCTTCTAATTCGCCAACCCGATTTTGCATTTCGGCCACTCTACGTTGCCACGTGCTGATTTCACCCGTCTAGAAAATGGAGTAAAACAGTTAGGAGAAGATTATGAGATTTCCTTGCAGGGTATATAAGAACGGTTTCATTTAAAACTTGCGTCATCTGCGTTTTTGCAATGTTTCAAAAATTGGTTTGATTGATTAGTTGAACAAAACGTTGTTCTCAATCAGGTTCAGAAACATATTATTGATGAAAGAAGCAAAATTCTTGGATAATTTCGCTCATATTATGCAAATATTAAATTATCAATCTAATGCAGTATTCATAAATGAATATACACTATACAATGTTTCCCTCCGAGGCGGTGGATTTTTCTCAACTTATCAGGGCGCATAGATATTTCAATAATAGAACTTGGTTCGATAAATAAACGACCAAATAACTGAAACCTCACTATAAATCTGAGCTTTTGAAAACGGTGCACATACGGCAAATTTCTAAAATAAAACTATATGATAAGAAGCGAACATCAATAACATTTTCACCAAACTTAGAGTAGAAAAATGGAATATGTGCATGTACATAAATCAATCAATCATGCAGGGAAAGAAAATTTAAATATCAGTTTGGGCGTTCGCTTTCAAAAAGAGCTCTCAAGAATATTGAGATGTTTTCCATTTTTGATAAACGACTGATCCTATTGAAAATTTCATAAACGTGTGCTGTTACTGTACAATTCATTCGCTAGATGAGGTTGTCTTTTCCCGATCGAGTGCCTCAAAGTCCAATCGGTTACTTACTTGTTGCTCTAAAGCCTGTTGTAAATCGGCTATTCGGGCAGCGCTTTCAACGTTTTCACCGTCCACTCCGCCATTAGTCAGTCGTGGCTTGGCCGGCAACGCCTATATGCCACAATAACATGCTATACATTTACTTTACAACATTGACAACATCTATTTCAAAATAGACGTGCAAAGTATATTGAAAAGGTATTTTCGTTTAAACAGCGACTACTAATGGCAACTTGAAAACTTGCATATTGTGTCGGTGATGTTGCAAGTGCGGTCTTCCGACTCTTAACAACTGAAATAGACCTGTAAACAATCAATGTTCGCTACTTCTGTTTAGTAATAATGATTTCTGGCCTTCTAGTTTCACAAAAGTGAGCTGATTTTCATTACGTTTCATGGAGAACTAAAATACCACTTGTTGGAAGACAAAAATTTAAATATGTATAATAAAGTTTAATTTCCTCTGATTTTTTAAATATATTATTAACATTAATAGCACATTTTTAACATTGTTAAATAATAGAATGGATGTGATGAACTGTTCCAGCTGATTATTTTCGAATTTTCAATGATCACAGCCCTTTTTTTCTATCTGTTTGTTTGTGAATTAAATTTTCACTCAGTTTCAGCATTGCCTCCTTCAGTATGAAATAATTTGCTATCTCATATGTATCTCTAAATTCTAATGCACATTAGAAAGTGCGGTTGGCAGAAGTGGTATCCTGAATATATTTCACATTGATCCTATTGGAGAAGCGCTAAGTTAGTGAACACAAAGAAATGAAAAACGCGAAATCTTTGCCGCCCAGAGCATTTCTGCCTAGAGAATACAGCGTGTTTAAGAACTACAGAATCAAACTACTAAGGAGTATTCAGGGCAGCAATAGAAGACATTTGAGTAGAAGATCACATGTTCGAAAAATTTTGATGTGCGCTACGTCCCTATGACGCTTTCAGACGTTTTGTACAAAATCACGTTTTACACATATACACAATACTTGATATTACAAAAATACACATAAAGTAATAAACATGCAACACATAGTAAGAATTTTTTGCTACATGTTTACTTAGACAAGATTCATTCTTATAACTGATGATTACTTGGCAAACAGAAATTAACAATGAAAGACTTTCGGCATCACCCCCAGGACCGGTTTCGAGCCTATTAACTCTCATCAGCTGGGTTCAGCCAGAAATTAGCGATTCCGAAACCCGCACTTGATAATGCCAATGTAATCACATCCATAGTTTCCACGCCAATGCGGAATAATCGATATTTATTTATATTAAACGGATGGTGTTTCCACACAAATGAATGGCGTTTCTATACCCAGCCGATCGTGGAAAGTTTGGATTAGTTTCGAATTAATTTTTAGAAAATCAGTCAGCATGAAAGTGTTTGTCAGGCATGAAATAGTTTGAAAGTTGTGGCCTGGCCATTTCAAGCGTCTAGTCGCTCCAGTTTTATAGTCACATTTTTTTGAGAATGGCTTAACAGGGCCAGGGTGGTCAACTGTAAGTTTGTTAATTCCTACATAATCAAGCTGCAGTCCCTTTTTTTTAACAATTTAAAACTAGCTAAAACATAATTTTGTACAAAACGGTCTTAAAGCGTCATAAACCGTCGCCCCTTAAGGAGACATTTCCTGGCATGAGCTGCTACGTCTATGTCTTCTACTGATGCTTACACCCCCAGTATATTAGCTTTAAAAAACACTTCACCCAAAATTATGTTTTACGATGAAAATGATGATTTAGAACACATAAACGAAAACAAAGCTTTTTTGTCCTGAGTTTGTCCAACTTGCCAGTTTCCGCAGGGCAACGGAAGTGCGACTGTTAACCGAAACCATTGGCGAATCATTAATGTTCCGGAAATCAGGAAGGGCATATTTATTTAGACAATTAAACACTTTCCAACATTCAAGCACTGGAAAGACATACACAAAAACTGGATACGTTTGGATCCATTTTATAAGCCGACAGTTCTAAAGAGACGTTGACCAAGTTGTAACTAAAGCCGCCCAAATACGGAAACGGAAAAGATGCCTGGTATGTCGGATAAATAGGATATGCCAGGCAAATCCATAGACAAACGGATTAGTAAACACAGAGGCAGTAAGCATAATTGCTGATATGTTAATGACTTTCCAGCAAGAGGTTGCTTAATCATTCACAGCTTTGTGAAGCAAGAAGGGTGTCTCCTGAATCGGGAAATTCTTTATTAGATAAAATATTTAGGATCATGCAAACCGGAACATGTTGTATAGACCGTGTTATCCACAGCAAGATAATGGATCGAGACGGATTTTCTCTATAATCTGTGTCGTAGCAGCAGCTAGTTTGTGCAATCATATTATAGTTCATCTTGAACCAGGATCTCTGATAGTGTAATTTGGAAAATTTATTCGATTTTTGAACGTAAATAATTTAGAAATATATAATATAATTAGAAGCAGAATACGAAATCGACAGCTCATGCTCAAATAAATATACCACAACAGTTAAAATAAACACAAGCAAAATAAAAAATGAGGCCTTTTATAAAGTAATAAACAGTATACCTTGTGATGGCTGTTGTTAAGTTGGTCCGAGGTCTCGAGCTGTCCATTTTCCTTTGGCTTATCTTCTATGGCAGGTACATTTGTTACCGGTAATCCCTGTTTCAGATTTTGCAGCTGGAAAAGACAAATTAGTCTGAGTCGGTGCATAAGCAGTTATATTAATGCAGTGCCGTCATTAATCATCACGAACAACTCAATTAAACGCAGTTTGTCATAGTTAAGTGTGATTGTTCGGGTTAAAAAAAATCAATGTCTTTTAAAGAAAAAACGAGTTTACTTGTTTAGCCGAGCATAACTGAATCCACTGCGACACTATTCCTACGTTTAATACAATAGCAGAAAAACCTAATAATTTTCAGGCTATTGAAATTAAGCTAAAGAAAGATTTTTAGAAAGTTGAGAGTTCGGTAAAGAGGTGATAAAACTACTATCTGTGTTTTTTAAAACATCGTAATCTGTCTAAAGTCAAGTTGAATTATTTTCGCAGCAGATTGTTTAAACGGGATCCCAATGGAAAAGTCGGTGTGAATGCGACCAGGAACAAAGAAACCGTGTCTGGCAAAACAGAAGTGATGGAATTAATTAACAGATTTTCGATGCCTGAGATAAAAATACAGCAAAGGTGCAAAATTGAAAATGCTGAAAAAAGAGCTGTATGAGATTACAACTTCATAGTTTGTGAGCGATAGAAGAAGACAACTCACAAGACTAACCTGTGAAGAAAGTGAAGGAAATTAGGAGTAAATTTTGGAAAACTATAAACAGGATGCTGGCGATGGGCGAATTTTAATAATTCTTGAAAACCGTGACAACATTAACATTCTACTAACTGATTCTTACCTCTTCTTTGGTTGTTGATAATTCCTCTTCTAAAGATGAATTTCTCTCTAAAGCCACTCTCAATCTCTCGCGAACCTAGAAGGAATGAAAACGGAAAATTAATTTATCGGTACACTCAATAATTTATCTCTTGAAGGAGTGAACTTTACAGGCGCCTGACAAATAACAAGCTGAAACGCAAAAAAGTATTTGAAATTCGAAATATGTACTTGTATTTTTTACCTTTTCATCCAAAGCCTTGTGATGTTCGAATAAGCTCTTCAACGCCTTTAGAACTTCTACTTCGCTTGATACTCCCGATTGAGCAGCAGCCTGTCTTTTGACTACCGTCATTCGCAGTGATCGTTCGTGCCTTGAGACCAAACATTCTAAGTGTTCTAGTAGCAACTGAAATAAAAAACAAAAAGTTAATTAAGTGATATCAGGCTAAAAAATTGTTGAAAATATCAAGAACAAGTTGCTATTTTACTAAAAAGCGTTGTTTTCTTTTATAAAAGCAAATTAACTTCACTTCTAATAATTTTTGTACGTTTAGATCGTTTGAACTCAATTTTAGTAGGGTTTTTATATTTCTCAGTTTCAACTTTTTAAACACGCTTGATCATTTTCTAACCATGCTTAGTACATTTCAACATTTCAATATGTTTTAAATGTTAGTAGATGACTAGAAGGAAATGTTTTAAATGTTAGTAGATGTATGCTATCATCAGAGTCCGCAAAAGTTTCTAGTGTATGTCAGTACAAATTTCAAGATTTGCTACTCTCAGGCTGTGTTTAGCGTAAAAATAACACACGCGGAAAAA